CGTTTCATACATCAAAATAAACAAGCGTTTCAAATATGTATTGGACAACAATTGACATCCGTAGCAAGTCAAACCGACGACAATTCAAAGTTGACAATGAAACAAATGTCCAGTGTACAAATAAAGCGTGTGCAGTAGTGGAAAACATGCACACCCACAGTCAAACAAATAAGTACTTCATTACTGCAATCAGTGTTGCCGTTATTCGGATTTGTCCATCAAATTTGGTAGCAGTTTTTCTCTTGGTAGGTTGGTACTTGAAAAGGAAATTTGGTAGGTTTTAAACAAGGCATTTTCAACCGGGTAGAGGTGATTTTTGTGCTGGAAATATTCAGAAATCATGTATGTATGTGTGTATGTATATTTAACTCTCTGCAAAAGCTTGCGCAGTATTTTATTTAAATTTATTGAAAAAGGGCCAGGTAAGACTTGCTCTGCGCTCCTCCATATGATTAGCATGTTTGTTGCGTTTGCGACCTGCCCATACATTACAATGGGTAACTTATTATCTGGACTTTTAAAAATTGCCTGCCTGCCACCAAAAGCTATAGCCTTGACACTAAATAATTTTCGGGAATAGTTCAGTACTATTTCAGGATCCCGAACTAATCCCAAAATTGTCCTAAAGTACTTAGTTCTGAAGTGGTTCTGAAAAAGTCGTAAACTTGTCTCGAAATTATCTGGAACAAGTCTTAAAACTGTCCTCAATGGTCACTTACTTATACCAGAGAACTGTACATTTGTATACACAAAAGGCAAATATAGATTTTCTGCTGTTCTAATGGAAATTTTCCCCATTCCGAGAGCTAAGATGTCAAAATTGCACTGGTTATGACAAAAACCGATCTTCAAACATCATACCCTAAGTAAGAACACTATCAGCTGATTGCCGAAAAAGACGAACAACTGAGATAACTGGTTTTTGGCATTTCTTTTTATCACATGGTGTAGATACAAAAAATTACTTTTGATAAATTTTGAGGTCGTTTTATAGCGAAGGAAAAATACATGTCTGAGTGGCAACACTGATAACAATACATATATGGGGCATTCCATAACAAAACGGACATTTCGAAAACAATTAAATCGATTTGGTTTTTTTTTTGGTGCTGTAAACTTTTTAAAAATGTATTAATCAAGCTCAAATTTTATATTTATTTATTATTTATGTTTATGCATCAACCCTAAAAATTTGAAAAAAATTAAACACATGAAGTGGGAACCCCGTCCGTTTTGGTATAGAACGCCCCATATCCAGATCACCCACGGTAGCAACCGAAAGTCATGATGCATTATAGTCAGCGCAGAGGAGTATAAGCCACACTATGTATTGGCAATCATCAAAATCATCATTTTAACTAAATGTGTACATATGTATGTATGTATGAATGTACCTACACCTACATACATACAAGTACAAATAGAAACGCAAACTTGTACGCTTGGCGGAATCACGTTTGGCTAATTGGCGACATATACAATTGCCTTGTGAATTATTGCCAGTTTAGTCAGACCATAAGCCTTACGCCTGCTTGGTGTTTTGTATGCGATGAGCGGCATTGAGCACGTACCGCTGACAAAGCTCACTTGCAAATAAATTCATTTTCATACAAATGAAAAATCTGCATAATGATCAGACATATCCACCCGCACAAGGCGGCAAAAGTAGAGAGAGGAGGCTCATTCGCAAGTCACAATGCAATTGTGTGTTTATGTATGTATGTATGTATGTACGTACATTTTTATTTTTGTCTTCCAGCGTTTGACTCGTTCCAAACAATTTTATTACGTTTTATTGTACGATTACACTGGTCTACAAGGGTTTTGCGAATAAGACGGGACCTGGTGTTTCCGAACGGATTTTTCGTGCTGAACACGAATCTGGGGTCCAAAACTTCCCATCACGTCACGTTTCCGAGAAAAAAGGGGTTGAAACCCCTAAAAACAGCGTTTTTGGCCATTTTTGAAAAATTGTAGAGCTGAACCCTGACGTGCTACAAACTTTGTATATGTCAGAAATTAAAGGCTAAATCGTGCCCTTTCGAATGAGCCCTATGCCGAATTAATCGCATGCACCCTTAGATCAGGGGGTGTATTTGTGTCTAGGAAAATCCGTTCAGAAACACCAGGTCCCGTCTTATTCGCAGAAAAAAAGTTGAAATTTGTAGACCAGTGTTATCTGTTGAATTATGGTAAATTCGTACTATTCATTGTGGAGGAAATTAAATGTCTGAATTGAAAAGATATCTATGTATGTATGTATGCATATAGGTAAGTAGCTATAGAAAATACAGAAGCTGTGTAATTGTGCAACAAGCGGACATAAACGAAACGGTATATAATGATAAAAGGTAATTCATTCACTGCCATGTTTCTTGAATTGTTTTTGGAAATCAGCTGATGAGTTCAGACCACAACGACGCTATGCCAATTGTATGTTAATGTCATTAAAAATATGTACTTACGTACATAAGCTTCAAGGTCATGTAACTTCTGAGTTACTATTTTTTAATAAATTCATATCATTTTATTTGTATGATGTTTTTGTTATTAAAGATGAATTTTTTGCTTTTACAGTTTACAGCTCTACCTACTCGGCTACGGTGGTCACCTTAACGATACTATTATATTTAATAATATGAACTTAAAATAAATTCAAGAAGATATCACATTCAATTTAGAAGAAGCACCTTTCAGTGAATTTCAAGACATGATAGTTTGCTGATGGGATGATAGTTTTGTACGTCAGACTTGTTCCCCAACTTAGGGGGATGAGGACAATAAAGGGTATTTTTAATTTTTGTAAAAATTCTCCTTGGGACAGTGATTTGTTAAAAATTATTGATAATGGAAGACAAAGTGATGCATAGTTTTTCAACAATATGAGAGGGAATCCATCCTCACCCAGAACATGGTCCCTAGGTAATGACAGAAGTGGATGATATACCTCCTCAGCAGAACATTTAAAATATAGAATAAAAATCGAGAGTTACCACCTGTAGGAAAAATGCAGTTTAAGTAAATTTATAAGATAAAGTTAATATTGCACTAAGGCTGTCAAAACAAAGAGATTTAAGAATAAGATTATAGATATATAGGGAAATCCCTTATTAGAGCAACAGAAGAAAAATCAACAGTTTTTAGAATTTTTGTCTGTCTGTAGAAATGTTTGTACGCGCATAACTCCAAAATTAATGCATTGAATTGAATGCAGTTTACACCGATATATCGCCAGAAGTCTAACTTAAAATATAGAAGAAAAAAACTCGAGAGTTGCCACCTGTTTAAATTTTAAATTTAGGTTAATTGAAAGGATAAATTAAATATTGCAATACGGCTTCCCAAACAAAAAGGTTGAAGAAGGCTTACAGTTAAAAATATTTTTGTTTAAGGTTGCCATCTGTTTGGAAGTTTTTATTTAATTTAATTGGTAAGGTAAATTAAATATTGCAAGATGGGTATCATACTAAAAAAGTTTAGGAAAGTTTACTGCCGAAAATTTTTTTTTTGAGGGTTGCCACCTGTGTGAAAATTTATATTCAATTAAATTGATAAAATAGATGAAAAATTAAAGTTTACTGACTGGTTTAGGGGTCTTTTTCTGGGTTTATTAGTTTATCCCTGAAGACGACATACTCCTACTCTACAGAGACCAGTAAATGACGACTCAGGTTGAACTTAGCTTCAAAAAAGTTATAGTCTGTACTAATACTACGGCAAAATGAGTCTGTATTGGTGTGCGCAATTATGTAATAAGGCATTATATGTAGCATAATTACCTTATAAAATAAAGATTACATAATTCTTAATAATCAGGCATTACATGAAGTATAATTACCTTTTTATAAGGCCTATAGCCCCTAGCGTATTGCATATATGTGTATGTTTGTAATGTCTCCGATATGGTATTGCTCATACCTCATTAGTGTTAAAGTCTTCTCTTCTTGTCTGCAGCTAATTGATAACCCGGTTATCTACATTGTATGTATGTATTCGTCATTGCCACTCTGAAGTTGAGTAGATGCATATTTCCTTTTCAATAACCGTTAGATTGTATCTACGTGTTTTCACATACTTTATAGATAAAAATGTGGTTTTAATTGCTCGATTATAACTTTAAATGCAGCGACTTATGAGTAATGTCGAGTGATTTCATATTGGTTCCCATCAAATAGTTCTCACAGCTATAACATCACCCATTCCTAAGTAAGCTGGCTAGTCTACTCCGCATGCGGACAAGCACTGTTGCCTACATATGTACGTACATATGTGTGTACATAGGTTTGTAACTAACAGTATCTGTATCTATTTCGCGGTATTTAACAGCATTTCTTCCGTTTTATCTCACAACTCAAGCGAACGCCTCGTTGTGGACAAATGGATAAAATAAAAGATGTTGCTGATGGCGACAATTTCACACAGAAAAGCAACAATATACATAAATACATATGTATAGGTACTTAGTGTCTATGTGAGTTTCTATGAATGTATGCACCCATAAAACGGATGCATTATACAAGAATAATATATATGTACATCTGGATACCTAAATGGCTGTCGACTAAAGTGTATATATATATATACATATATGTCTACATAAATATCTACCCGTGTGCGATTGTTGACAAATAAAGCTATCACAGCAATGATGACAATAAAAACATTAAGCAACAATAACAACAAGAATGCTTGCCTACACATACATACAAACTTACATGCATACAAATGTTGCACTCTTCAACGGTAATTGATGCAACAACAGCAACAACCTTAACAGCCACCGCGCATCAATAATAAATAGTTGAATTAAATAAGTGGCAGTAAGGTCGTCGGCGGTAGTTCGCCTGTCGTTTGCTTCCATCGCCAAGCACACAATGTCGCGGACACAGATGCGCAAACACATAGACCAAGTTGGTGTCGCCGACACACACCACCACCACTTGTGGTATTCTTCAATGTTCGGCGAATCTCCCACAGCATCAATGCCACCACATGATTACAAAATTAGTTTGCTATATTTCAAGCCATGTGGCTGCTGCTGCCGCTGCTGCTGCGCTTCTGTTGCTGCCACCGCTGATGCAGCGGGTGTTGGAGCATTCAATGGTGCTGCTAATGTTGACAACAATGATGTTTGAAGATTGTCTGTTGGTTAAACAAATGAGAAACTGAGGCGGCATCCGAAATGGCAGCTGCCAGTAAATGCGACTAGGCAGGCGGGGGGTGAGCCGCTCGAGTCAGTAAGTCAGGCTGGGAATTTTGAACAATAGTTGATGTATGTACATCTAATGATGTTATTGTTGTTGGCACAACATCCGTTCTGCCGCGTAATATGTGCTCCACATTCTACAGAAGCGCCATTTTGACTTTGAATGTCTGCTTGTGTGCGCCGGCATGTAACGAGGGTGCACACACTACTAAGCTGGCGCGCGGTTTTGCATCAATTTCAAACAATACCACTTGTGCCCAAATACAGAGGCACAGAAAAACACCAACAGACATTTATTTGTAGCTCACTGCATGCACGCCTTCATCACTCGTCTATATGCATGTATGTAGATTAAGGTTCTCCAAAAAAATAAAAATAAAAAATAAAATATTAAGCTCTCACCACTAGGGATTTTTCTAAATGGGAAAAAAGAATATGTTTTGTTAAAAAAAGAAGATATTTAGAATACTTGAAAATCAATATTTCTCTTTAGTAGGCTTCCAATTATAATAACAAATTATTTATTTAGCCATTTTTTAATATTAAGTATTTGTTACAGGTCCATAAAAATTCTAAAAAACGCGATGAGGGAACCCATAAAAAATCGTTAGTATTAAAAAATGGTGAAATAAACAATAGGGTATTTTTATCAGTAGGCTCCTGAAGAGAAGCCAAGTTTTTAGATAAAAAAATTTTGATTTTCAATAATTTTATACCATTTCTACGAAAAAGCGTTCTTCCCCCATATAAAATACAAGGAAAACTACCTGGTCTTCGAGGCAGCTCTAAAGATAATTTTTTCCTAAACAAAGAAAATAAGGGGTATACTTTTTCCATTTAGAAAAATGTTAGAAAGTGAGAGCTTATCATTTTAAACATTTGTTTTCTTACCACCCTAATGTAGATACATACTTGTGATTGGCATAAAGAGCAACATTGGAAGGTATTAAATCAGCATATAAGAATACATATGTATGTATGTACGAGGGATGTTTCCAGAGTTCTGGGAATTGTGCTATAATTAAATTACACAGAACGTGTAGGCAATGTTATCGACGTGAGACAAGTCTTGACATGTTTATGCAATTATCTATATAGTTCAATATTGTTCAGCCTGATTTAGGTGTTCGACTGATATAGACGCATTTTCATAGCACTGTTTTTGTAACCATGGAAGACGCAGCAAAAGAAGGTGTGAAAACATCAGAAATTTTTCAGCGGACCTCGCGACAGGCACTTGTCAAAGAATGGCCTAGAAGGTTGCATAAGCGTCCGTTATTGCAAACAGGACAATGCAAGACCACACACCGCAACAAAAACGAAGGGTGTTTTGAACGATTTACGATGCGATTTGCTACCGTATCCAACTTATTCCCCCCGGATTTGAAAACAAAACGATTACGGGGTGTTAGATGGGAAGGTTTAACTGACGTAAAACGTGCCATAAATAGGTGGATTGAGGAGACACCGAACAAGTTCTTTGAGGACGGTTAAAAAAAATACTTTATCGTTGGGAAAAATGTATTCAGTTAAATGGAGAAAATTATAAAAATTATAGCTAAATTCCCAGAACTTTGGAAACATCCCTCGTACATACACATATGTATATCTATGTAAGCAAAGTGTGTGATTATAGACTCTGTATGCACCGATGTAAAAACAAAAGTATCACTTGCATTTGTGTCATCTGTGTGAAATTGTTTGATTCTCATTGAGATCTTTTTTTTTCAATTGCAAGCTAAGTTTAGCTAGAAATGAATTCTGTTGTACATATCGATGGTCCTGTGCAGTAACGACACAACTCAAATTTTCATGTTAATTAAGTTATATAACGGATTAGGGTGTTAAATAATTATATTTTTCGGTTGATGATCGACATATCGCCGCCTGCAAACCATACTATGCTAAGCTTGACTAAGTCTAAGTTGACTAAGCATGGTTAGTGATGTTCCGATACCAGTACTTAGAAGTATATACTCGAATACCTCTACCAAGTACCGAGTATTTTTTGTACTTCGATACGCGTGAAAAAGTACTTCATGGGTATCGAGTACAAAGTGCAAGTATTTACTTGTTGGCTAAATTTGGGAACATCAACTGAAAATAGATCTGTGTTGTAGTTTTTGAAAAAAAAAAAAACGATTCAAGATGTGAACCACTCGATTGCGCTAGAGTTAAAACTAACGAAAGTGGAGAACGAAAATCGTATCGAATTAGAGGACGATGTGGAGCCAGCCTATGATTTGCGGAAGCGTCGTCTATAGATCGTTTTGAAACCGTAGAATCAAACACAAGTAAACAATGAGCTTTCTCAATACTTAACATCTCCTATGTCAGCAATTCCAAGTAACCCCATTTCAAAATAGAAGGATATGAAAAGGGATTTTCAGCTCTTCATAAGCTTTTCTGCACTGTATGTCGTTATATTGTAAATGGGCATTGAATTAAAATTTCTTGTGTGAGTACAATTAGAATCGAGTATTTCCTAGCGATACTTTGAGTATTCTCTTCGATAATTTTAATGAGTATAGGCATCGAGTACATGGTATCGGACGAACACTAAACATGGTATGGTTGGAGGTATCGATAGGTGTACTTTCTACTAATCCGACAGGGGGCGCAATTGTTTCGTTTGTCTGAAAATCCAAGTTGGCAACCTTGAACGAATCTCTGTAGGCGATTTTAGTGTTTATCGTGAATATTGGCATAAGTCAAAAGCTTTGATCAGTTAGTGATGTTTTTATACGAAATAAAGACAGTTTTGTAATACTAGTTCAGTAATATCAGTGAACACATTTTCGTTTAATTACTTAAATAAAATAACTTTTTCAATTTAATCCTTACTACATCTTTTTTAAGCAGAATTACCTCCAATCATCCATAATAATTATGTCCCAAAACATATTATTGCTAAACTAGCCCGTTGTGCTTCACTGCACCTTAAATTGTTTTTGTGTGATTTCTCCCTGTTACGCTCACGAATTCGTCATAAGGAGACAACAACTAATATTTTTTTCGTAAACATTTTTAAATGCACAGCTGTACATGAGTTGCTCTCTACATATTTCTAAACAGCTGTCGCTCGATGAGGCCCTCAGCGAGTGCCGGACTCCCTTTTTATGTACCCTGAAATTATAAGTATATTTATCCCAGCATACATTTGTCCCGGCTGTTTTCGAAAGTTTAAGAAACTCCTTCTCCTCTCCCCCATGTTTTCTGTTTCTAAGTTTTGCGCACTGCCAAACGACCTGAAGGGTATTTGTCTTCCCAGGACTTCAGCCTTTTATCGATGGCCCTGGCAATCTATCCTATCTGGAATGCCTTAGCAAGGACTAGCTTATATCGAGCAACTATCCTAACTTTGTTTTAACTCAGACGCGCTTATTTTTTGTGTCGTATATTAAGTTATTGAGTTTAGCCTGAGTTGCACATTTACCGCTGCGGCTGCTCTGTCACTGACTGTGTCTGTCGACTGTGGTGATCGCTTGGCAGTCGAAGGTTTCTAGGCCAAGGCAATTCTTGACCTCCCTGCCGGTAGGGTATAAGATCTGTTGCTGCTCGGACTCCTTTTCCTCTTCCTCAGGCGCAGATACATCCCATGACATGAGCTCAGAAGTTTCCACTCCACTCCATCGGCCATCGGCGTTCATGTCTCCTGATGTACGCTGGCATCACCTCCACTCTACACTGAACCTTCCTAATATTTTTTTGGCTTTTTGGTTTTAGGGAATCCACCGTACGTACATCGCTGCCTCTTAAACTCACTTTTGGCTTTAGATTTCTGCTTTCAAATAAAGTTGAAATATAGATTTATGTTCATATCTGCTATTTCTCTCGCCCGGGCGAGTTTCTATGTGACTCTACGTGGCATTTAATACCGGACCTTATGGTTCAGTGATTCTCACGGTAACCTTGTACTGCGATATAGTTTTTCTTCCATTTATTCCGAGGCGGCCCGGTGCCGTACGGTTCGACTCAGTTTCCGTCTAGCTTAGCGGAGGGTCAAAGATAATTAATCATAAAAGCGGTACTGCTCTGCGCTGCTTTTTTTTACCAATGACCAAGAACTACCGAAGCCTCTTAATCCGGAGCGCTTTGCGACACCGTGCTTATTGGCATGTTTGCAGCTAGCGGATTCATTTGTAAGCGCTTTCAGCTACTGGGTTTTTAAATAAAAACTACTAAAATAAAAAAAAATTGGTTAAAACAGTTAATCCTCTTGCACTTCACGGCTGTGTTCTAAAAACTATTAAGTCCGTAAATAAAGCACAACAAAGTTTGTGAATAATGTTAAAATGCCACAGCTAATGAATAAGGCCATAACTCAGTTTTTACCCAAACCATTTCGCTTGTTTTTTGGTTCGTTTGTTTTGTCTTAAATAACTCATGCGCTGAGCGGATTAAATGGACATTCCAATTTAAAAATTTTGCCTCCAAAAGGTGTGGCTGAGTAATTTTTCAATTTTTTTTTTTCTTACACTTTTATCAATTTATTCATATCCAACGGCAGTTCTTAGTATATTTTTTTTTTTCATTTAAATGTTTTTTGTTTTGCGGTTAAAACAAAGTCGAATTAAAATACACAAATATGTACATACATATGTATGAATGTACATATATATGAAATCCATAAAAAATAAATCTCATACACTCGCTTACCTACGCGACACCCTATTACGCTTTAATTTGTATTTCTCCAATTCGTTTTCGGATTTGAAATGGAACAAAAAATAAATAAATTCAAATCAATGAATGATTGTCCCAAACAGTGGGATCCCAATCAGCAAACACGTTTGTATGTATGTATAAGTAGAGCCCAAAAAAAATTTAGAAAAATATACATCACATTTGTATCTGAATACGGTTACCTCCTGTGCCATTCTAGACTCATCATTAGATACACAGCGCATTTGAATGTTTTAATTTTTTTACACAGTGCTTGTTTTTTGTTTGCCCTCTTTAAAGATTACTTATTTGCTTTCTTCGGCTTCGCCCAAATTGTTTATTGCTGTCTTTTTGATGTTTTGTGGTCTGCGCCCATTTATGTTGTATTTATGTATGTATGCATGAAAGCATATTTGTATATTTGGACACTGTGGACAATTTGGTGTTAATCTTCACTGTTGAGGCACATTGCTGGTGATTATGCTGATGATGATTGATTGTTATTTGAACATGGAAGCGCGTAAATAAATGAACACAAAACATATACATATGTATATGCTGGAAAATTTGTGAGGGCGGGCATCTTTAACAAATTTGGTATCTCCTCGCTTGTTCTTCTCATTCTTTTTTCTCTTCCTAGCGTTCAGCATGGTATTTGATGGTTTGTTAAAGGTCGTCGTGGTAAGCTTTGTGTCAATAGTGAGAAGCGTCATTAAAAAACAACAAATTATTGTACATACTTAAATTTAATGAAGTCTACATGAAGTGAATAATTTTACATTAAGTTCTTTTTTATACATAGAGCTCTAAACACTTACATAAGTGTGCAACGAGTGAGGCTTTGCGGTGGCGTGTTGAAGTGCGCTGCATTGTGCCTAGGTGTTCAGCAAAGATATAAATCATTAATCAATTATGGCAAACAAAGAATAATTTTCAATTTTGTAATATAAAATGATAAACGGATGTGTGTGTGTTTGTATTGTAGTAAGTGCTGTTACTTACAAATATAATTTCAGCGTTCTTAACATATTCACATTGCTTGATATGGAATTTTTGAGTAGGAGTATTAATACCGGTACGTAGTAGAGTTTAAAATCAAACTAGAAGTGCCTGTTACTTTCGAAATTCGACCGTTTCTGTACCTTCTTTTAAATTGTCCCGAAGATTTTGCCACTCTTTCACTGAAAGAAAAATTATGTATTATTTTTCCCCGAGGTTATGAACCAAAAAAACTCTCCTTAAGGAAACGGAAACGAATAATAACAAGTAAGAAAGTCTAAGTTCGGGCGGAGCCGAACATTAAATACCCGGCGCAATTATTAAATATATGTTTTCCACCTTTCCGAAAGCTACCGCTACACGATAAGACGGGGTGTATAAATTTTAAGTAAATCAGCGTCCTTAAATTTCGAAATATTGCAGTTTCAAGCATTTCTGAAATATACCGTTATATGAGAAGCGGACGTTATTTTAGCCCGATTTCTATAATTTTCAACGCTTTGCTTTTATCTGGCAAGCACAATAACCATACCGAGTTTGGTTCAAACTGCTAGAACGGTTAGCGAGATACATATATGTGATCATAAGTGGGCGGTGCCACGCCCATTTTCCAAAATTGTATCATAAGCGTATTTCTTGGTAAAAAATTGTTGCAACCATCAATTTTGAATAAATTAGCTTTAATATTTACTGATTTATCGAGGATTTCGTATTTTTCTAAATTACCGTTATATGGGATGTGGGCGTGGTTATTGTCCGATTTTAAAAATTTTCGGCCATTTGGTATGTTGTAGCAGGACCAACAACTGTGCCAAGTTTGGAAGAAATTGGTGCAGCGGTTACCAAGATATACACATGTAACCATAAGTGGGGGTGGCTACGCCCATTTGCCAAAATTTTTTAATATTTTTATTTTTCGTCTAAAACTCATTGTAAATATCAATTTTTAGTGAATTATCTTCAGTAGTTACTAAAATATCGCACTTTTCGTATTTCTGAAAATTACCGTTATATGGGATGTAGGCGTGGTTATTGTCCGATTTCGCCCATTTTCAATACCATCCGTCCTATGCCCAAAAGAAGTCCACGTACCAAGTTTCGTTAAGATATCTCAATTTTTACTCGAGTTATCGTGTGCACAGACGGACGGACGGACGGACGGACGGACGGACAGACAGTCACCGCTTAATCGATTTCTCTTTTCATTCTGATCATTTATGTATACATTTGTCTATATCTATCTCGATTCGTTTTGCCTGTTACAAACAACCGTTATGTGAACAAAGTTATAATACCCTTGTGCACAAGTGCGCTCGGGTATAAAAATTAAAGTACGAACGAAAACAAAATGCGAAAGCGTAAAAAGCGTAAACGTTCATATTCGTTTTATCCCCGTCTTCATATTCGTCATCGGATCGTCTTCGTATTCATCATCGTCTTTGTTTTAATGCTATTTTGGTATTCGTCTTCGTCTTCGTACTCGCATTCATCTTCGTATTCGCCATTCGTCGTTCGTCTTCGTATATAGCATATAACCTCTTCTTAGGCGCTTAAGAAGGTTTTCTGTGAACTGGCGCACAAAGTCAGGACTAGGTAAACCAACCATTAGGACCGACGATGTACAGACATTCAATCAACGGCATTCACAAAGAAACTTCTAAAGCCTTTACTAACTCTCGCCTCGGGAATATTGTGATCGGAGCTTGATGGTGACACCCCTTGCAGACGAAGAGCTTTAGCTGCTTCGTGAAACCGACGTTACTGTGGCATAATTACAGGCTGGATATTGGTGCAGGTTAAACTCCTACTTATCCGGACGTTCCGATGACGTTCTCAATGTATATTTGGTATGTGAAGATTACCAGAACTGCACTAATCATTTTTTCACGTAACCCTTAAACCTCAACTCACCACTCAACCAATACCATACCTCTCCTCCTTTGATCTGACCCCGTCTGACTATCAGGGCTAAGTAGACGCTACAATTATGAAAACCACATTGTGGCCGTTTAGATAACCAGCGATAAACCCAATGTCAACTCTTTTTAAAATAAGTATGTTTCTCCTGCCGAATTGCTAACTAAATATGCTTGCAAGGCTAAGCACCACTGTGGCTTCCCCTTATTTACAGCATTTTGAGTTTACGCAGAAAGAAGCCAAAAGTCTTGGAGAAGAGCAAATTAGATCACAAAATGTTTCCTCTATCGGAAACGGTTGGCATTCTGTTGGATGTTGAAAACGATATCGGCTAATTGCCCTTCAAAGATTACGAACACAATTGAAAGTTTCATCCATCTTAGACTCTCTAGTACTTCATGTATGGGATCAAGATACGGGAATTCTTTCCCTACATATCTTGATGTTCATCAAAGTCATAATGGGCCATTGTTGATATGGAATTGGAATGGCTAAGGCTTGACATCACCTCAAGCCTTTACTGTAGCGCTCTAGGGAAGACGTTAAGGTGGATTCATCTCAGTATTTGCTTCTTGGTTGTGCGAATTACATATACGTCCAGTTAAATAACTTTGGTCTCACTTATTTTTTACTACTAATGAGGTTTTGCCTACCCAGCTTCGAACTTACTCTCTCTCCTTTTTCGATTCCTACTTATATTCTCTCTATTCCTTAAATGCTATCACAAATATCCATTTATTTTTGTTTAGACATTAGTCCAAATGAGCCTATATAATATGGTGCAGCTAGTTCAACTTACCTAACCTAAAACTAACCAATTTATTTATTAATTTTTCTAAATTTGTATGTACTGACTTAACATTATTTGCAATTTAAGAGGCTAATGTTCAGTGCTGAGAGCTGCAACTAAGTCGTTATAGTTAATTATCGAACTTTCTGTCCACGTCTCCCTAACAAAAAGCCTTATAGCCTCACTGGTCAGTTATTTGGCTGATTGAAGAAAAAACTGACAATGCCTCAGAATGCCGCTGGCTAGGAAAGCTTTAGCATTCGCTAAAATTGTTGTGCA